CCCCCACCCCCTCATGACCCCACGGAGCCCCCAAAGTACACCACGACCCCCCCTCAACCCCTCCCTTCTGCACGTATATGCCTTCAGAACATCATCAGTTAAAAAACCGTTGTCAATCCATATTTACATTTATTTACACGTTACATATGTACATACATACATACAATACCGCCGTTTACTTTCTACTCAACCCCTGGCTGGTGAAGGTGCTGCAAACAAAGCATGCAGCAATCACATCCGTTCTCTCTAAGCAAGTCCGATACCAAGAGAGACAGCTATAGCGTTGAGTTGGTGACCATGACGAACGCCTCTACCGCGCCTAAACGCGAGAAACCAACACTACAACACACCGCGACATATAGATACGTACCCTCCCCACTCACGCCTGAGCGTGCCCGCCCAACCATTTCCTCAAAAAATTCATCGTGTTGCGCAAAATCCACAGCCGTAGCTGCTCCTTCCGGGAGGCTCTCTTGCTCGTCCACGTGTTGAAGGCTTCTCTGGTCGCTGCCATCGACTTCTTGCGCACTTCCTGCGCAGCCGCAAGCGCCTTCGCCTCGGCTGCCTTCTTCTGCTCCGGCGTCTTCCCCGCCCCCCTCGCCTGAATCACGGCATCTCCCCTGGCGGTGGCTTCTCGGTGCTTCCCCCACTCCTTGAGATCGCGGTACTCGAGGTAGTCCTCCAGGCCCTCGTCGTAGGCTTCGATGTACAGCCACGTCACCCTGCTCCATGCGCGGATAAACCGTGCGGGTACGCCGCTCAACGCGCCGGGCAAGACCTGGAGCATGTGGCGAAGGGAATACTCGCAGTGGAGGCGGAGGAGGTGCTTGATGTACCCCCAGTATCGCTCGATTGCGTTGAGCTCTGGGTGGTACTTCGGCAAGAAGATGCACAGGTGCCCGTGTGCCTTGAAGAGCTTCTCAACCATGTTGAGCTCCTCCCTGAACGCCTTGAGCTCAGACAGAACGCGCACGACGCAGCAGCGACGCCTCTTGCCTGCTTCACCAGCTGCCCCGCTCCCACCCGAGTCCCCGTCCTCTCCGCCGTCCTCCTCTCCCTGCCCGGTGTTGTCCACCACCTGCTGCCGCCCCTCTCCACCGCGGTTGAAGGCGGTAATGGCTTGCCTTGTTG